TCAAAGACTTTGCAGGTGAAGTTGGAAACCAAAGTGCTGACCCAGGTGCAAGAACAGATATTGCTTTAACAACTGCAATGAAACATGCAGATACTATGTTTGTACTGTTCAGACGAACTATAAATGACTATTCTTGCTTCTACAACCCTGGTATTAAATACCATATAAACATAGATGGCAAATACTATCCAAGAGAAGAATATTCTACAGTTGAGGATATGAGGTCATACAACTTGACATTAGATGCTATGAACTTTAACAACAACTTCACAACAACCATTAACCCTGAAATGCAAAGTTCTATTATGCCATATGTGAAAGTATGGACTCATACAGGAGGTCAAAAAACTCAATATACAAATGGAGACCGTTCAAACTTTTGGCTTGGCATTCCATTTGCTGACTCAGAAGACTTTATGGGTGGTATTTCAACTGTTGGTACAGTTCAAATACAATATACTGGTGACAGAGACGGTCCAGATGAATTGAAAGCAAAGAAGTTTACAAAACCAATAGCACTTTTCACGGAAGATGCTCTTTTGAAGATTCGTTCGATGAAACCTGCTGGGGCTCCTCAGATTGGCATAACGACAGCTTCCATCGAGCAGATTTTGGCAGCAGGTCAGTAAGTTGTTCTTGAACTGACTTCTCTCCGTCAAATATTGACAGTACGCCAGTTTTGATATAATATTGTATTAAAAACTTTCCTTTAGAAATATCGGTCAGTTTTGTTGTTATATTTTTGTCAACGTCAAGAACTTTCACCATCTCGGTTATACCAACTTTCTTTGCTTTATGAAAATATTTTGGTTCAGCAAAGACTGCTATTCTATAACATTTTCCATTGTTTGTATAAAGAACTACTCTGTCAATGAACTTGTATTGTTTGTGTGTGTAAACTTTGTTTTGCTTCAATTCGAAGAGATATCCGAATACGTCCATCTTTTTATTCTCAGTAAAATGTCATTTCCGAAAAATAGAAGCGTAAGTGTTTCAAAAGGTTTAATGGCGGTGGCAGATGTGAAGTTAAATTCACCAACTCAAACAAACAGTCAAAGTGTTGTTGTCAATGTCAAAGAAAGAGATGTTGAAGTGGGGAAACCATACGAAGACGAAGATGGTATAACAATAGTTCCTGTAAAAGAACAACCAACATATCCTGAAGTTAGCAGAGACTTAAGTTCTGTTGCAGATATTCGAAACGACTACCAACAACTTAAAGACAAACTTAAAACTCAGGAGAAGATTTGTCAGGCTTTAGGTATAATGTTAAACTTGGTTGAGCACAACCCTGTAAAAGTGAACTCATATGTCATTGCACCTCATGAAGTTTTGAAAGAACTATTGAAACTTTTGACAGAGGCAGACGATATAAACATCAAAGAAATAGAACCGACGTTAGTTGCTGTGGTGTTTCATATAATGTCATTGACAAGATATACGTTATGAAAGGAGGTGAAACGTTGAACTTAAAATATAGTTTCCCAGACGTCATAAAAATATTTGACGACCACAACATTTCATTAAAATTTACTTGCTAAGTAAATGGCAGAAGACATAGTGGTTTATACTATTACGACTAAAAACCCTGAGTCATATAATTCTATAACAACAAACTTACAAAGTCCTCAAGGACGGTATTGTAAACTAACTTTAAACACAATGACGACTAAAGCCTGTTTTGCTCTTTTGACACCAGAAGATTTTATTGTTGTGAATGGTAAAAAATACTTCTTTGAAGATACTTACTCAGATATACCACCAACAGGTTTTGTTGACTTATTTAATACTTTAAGGACGGATGTAACATGTGCTGCAACTAGAGCAGGTTTCATTATGTTTGGATGTCCGACTGAGTTTACTATAAACGATATGAGCTATAATACAAAACTTATATCTGGTTTTTACTACCAACAGTTTCCTATAACAGGAAAAGGTGTCATACAAGGTTTGTCTGTTCCATTGACTTTAAGTACACCTATTTTATATATTGTTTCAAACTTAGGTTCAAAGTGCTATTCGAATGTCGACAGAAACTACTATGACCAAAAGATACTCATGCGTATAAACAACACTTTCTCTGCTGGTTTGCCTATTGTTCATTCGAATGCAGAGTTTTCAGCTTTAGTAAACTCAAACACTTTAGCAAACATAAACTTAACCTTAGTTGACGCAAACTTTGTTCCTGTAAAACTTTTATGTCCTATGTATTTGTCAATGACGGCAGAAAGTTTCGAATTGGAAGATGCAACTGGTGAAAGTATTGTACTACAAGAACAACTTCAACAACAAATAGCTCAAGAACAACAAATGCAACAAATGGAACAAATGCAACAACAAAGTCAAGAATAAAAAAAATATTTTTTTTATTTTTATAAAAATGTACAGAATAGACGTTTCAGATTTTTATGACTTCCAAGCGTTCAGAAATATGTGTCCATTAGAGACTATAACAAAGCAGTCGAGAATTTGAAACGTTTAGTCACTTATGTCGACTCTGCCCCAGAATGTTATGTTATGAAAGAATGGGATGTAGTCTTTAACAAACCAAGAGCAACAATAGTTTCAGAACAAGAATGTAGACAGAAACTTAAGAAAATAAAAGTCGTACAAGTTGGTATGAAGATGTTAGATGCTTGGGATATCTTATTGTCAAAACTTGAAGATTTTTCAGTTCGTGGTATAAAGTTCTATACACCATCTCCAAACTTCTATTCTATCTTCACTGGATATAAATACGAACAAGTAGAATGGAAAGAAAATATTATAGAAGCTTGGTTAGACCATGTCAAAGAAATTATATGCAATGGAAACGAAAGAGTCTATGAGTATATCTTATGTTGGTTTGCAAACATCTTACAACATCCAAGTGCTAAAAATGAAACTGCTCTCATTATAATTGGAAAACAAGGAACTGGTAAGAACACATTCTTTACAGATATTTTGTGCAAACTGTTAGAGGGCTATTCGAACCCGAATATGACAAACTTAGAAAACATCTGCGGTAAATTTAACTCCTCAATAGAGAATATGAAACTTATAGTTTGCAATGAACTTCAAAGTATAGATACAACAAAAGTTTTGAACTCAGATGCTTTGAAGAGTCTTATAACAGACAAAGTTGGAGTTGTTGAAAGAAAATATAAAGACCAAAGAGTTTGTGAAAATGTTGCAAACTTCATTATGGTTTCAAACAACGCCGTTCCGATGAAGTTAGAAAGTTCTGACAGAAGATATGTAGTTGTCAGAACGTCAGAAGCTCATATGCAAGATACAGAATATTTTGACGACTTAGCAGAAACTTTGACACCTAACTTTTACAACCACTTGTTCTCATATTTCATGACATTAGATATTTCAAAGTTCAATCCAAGACAAATTCCACATACCGAAGAAAGACAAACATTGTTAGAAGCAAACAAGAGTGTATATGAACTGTTTATAGATGAGACTAACTTTGAGTGTTTAGATGAAAGGTCATTGTACGACTCGTATAAACAGTATTGTCAAGAGTATGGTTATATGGCAGCGTCTAAACGAACATTCTTGGCAAATGTCAAAAATCTTTTAGATGTTCAGAATGGTGTATATACAAAGAAAAATTTTTATGAGTAAATTTTAAAAAAATATTTTTTTATCCGATAGAAAAGATGGCAAAATTCATCTCAGTAAACAAGTACATGACAGAAGTCAAAGAAGAACTAGACCCATTCGCATATTTGAATGTTTACTTCTACCATTTTGAAAAGTCTACATTTGACAAAGTTTGGAACATCGAACCAGTTAAGTTTGCTATTGTGACTAAAAATGGTGCGAAATTTGAAGACTTAGACATTGACGGTATGTTGACAGTCAAAGAAAATTTTGACAGAAAGTTCTCAAAACTCGAAGAAGGCAAAGCATACAAACTTGTTATACCTTATGAACCAAAGAAAGCAGACGACTATGAATATTATGAGTCTAAGATAGTTGAAGTTCAAGGTAAATTGGGTAAAAAGATTTTAGAGTCTAAGCCAGTGTTTGCTCCTAAAGAGGAAGAGAACATTGACATTGACCCAGAAATGTTCTAAAAATAAAATTTTATTTTTACATGTCAAATTTCTTTTTCTCTGGCTCTGGTTCTTTCTTCTCTTCTTCTACTTTCTTTTCTTTCTTTTCTCTCTTCTTCTTCTTCTCTGGTGGAGTTATGTCAAATTTGGCGCAACCATATTTATGTAAAAGTTCTTTGTCCTTTAATAGCTCATCTATTCTGTTTTCTATTTCATCTTCAAGAACAGCGCATGTGTCTTCTTTGCATTCTAAGAACTTTTGTTGGACTTCATCTTTCCAATCGGCGTCATCTCTGTCAACAAGTCTGTCATTGACAAACTTAAAGACTGCTCTTTGTAATGTTTTATGGTTCTTGTCATATTCCCAGAAACAGAACTTTAGAACAAATTCACCTTTCTTGTTTACACTATGTAAGATTTTATGGTCGACAGATGTTTTGCTGTCAAAAAGTTTGTCTCGAATATAGATAGCGAAATCGCTAGACATTTTCAAAAAGATAAAAATTTTAATTTTCTAAAAAATATGTTAGAAAAAAAGTTTGCTGACATTGACAAAAAATTTGAGAATGTTTTAAATAAGAACAAGAGGAAGTTGGAAAATGCTCAGATAAAGCCTATACATGACAAGTTCTTATTTGCTCAGAATGGTATAAACAGGTCTAATCGCACCACCTGGGTCGGGTAAGACTTTTCACTTATCTTAAAATGGCTGCACAACAACAAGAACTAGATGAGAAGAACCCATTCTATGAGTTAGTAGTCATTTGTAGTACTTCTGGTCAATTTGACCAAACCGTAAATTCGTTCAAAGATATTATAAAAAAGTCTAAGTTAGTATGTATAAAAGACTCTGAGTTGTTGGATTGGATAAAGAAGTACCAAAGAAGAGTTTTGAAGTACAATGCTATAAATGAGTATGTCAATTCTAAGTTTAAAGACCCAAATGAGGAAATGCAGAGAATATTAGAGAAGAAACACTTCAGAAACAAACAGAAAGAGATAGAATACATTTCGAAGAAATTGCAATCTTACGATTGGAAGACTTACCCTCATAGATGTCTTCTTATCTTAGATGACTTTGCTTCTCATCCTTTGTTAAAGAACAGAGAACAAGACATGTGTCGAATTCTCAAGAAGCTCAGACACTTTAACATCTCAGTTGTCATTTGTGTACAGACAGCAAAGAGTTTAAGTAAGGATGTTAAAAGAATACTTACTGATATCATACTTTTCCCTGGATTGTCCGAAGACGATTTCATGGAACTTATGAAAGAGTCCATGGCAGGTAAGTTTGACAGACATGAACTATGGGAGAAGTACAAAGTCATACAAGACCCTCATACTTCTTTCAGAATTCATATCTACGCAAACAAAGTTCAAATTGTAAAAAGTCAAGCTTGAAAAATAAAGAGTTTAGTCTTAGTAAGTCTGTTGTGGTGCTGGGGCTGTCGGTTCTTCTGGCTTTGGAAGGCATTCAGGAAGAGGAACGTGAGACATTCGTTTGTGTCCTGTCGGAAGGAAGAACTTTTCCAGTTGTCGGGAAAAATTTTTCCAGTTGTCGGGAAATTTTTTTCCAGTTGTCGGGAAAAATTTTTCCAGTTGTCGGGAAAAAAGTTCTCAATTTTCGAAAATTTGAATGGTTTACGGACGGACAACAGGAAAATTTTTTCCAGTTGTCGGGAAATTTTTTTCCAGTTGTCGGGAAATTTTTTTCTTGTCGGAAGGAAGAACTTGGAATGCCAGAAGGATTTGACAAGACAATTTACCTTATAGAACTACCTGAGCCATCTGAAGTCAAGCGTAAAAATAAATGGTTCATCTACTCTGCTTGTTTGAAGTTGTCAAAATACTCTGTTATTTTTTCCTTCAGTAGCGGTAAGTCTTCTTTGAAGGTAAGTATTGTACAACCTTTCATATCATAGTGTGTTTGAGGTAAAGTATCTTGAACTATTTGTTTCACATCTTCATTTGGTGTCATTGAAATCGGTAAGTTTTCACGATAGAACCAATTTCTGTCAGATTTGTAAATCTTAGCAAGGTCGTAAAAGCTTTTGTTGTTTCTTCTGACTAAATGCAACATAACCATATCTCTGTCTTCTTCATTTTCCATCTCTTCAGTATAAATCATATACTTATAGTTCTTTTCCTTTCCTTTTGGTACCGAACGTGGTATTCTTTTCTGAATGCTTTTGTCTTTTGCTTCAAGCTTGTTCTCTAGCTCTTCACGTTCTTGTCTGTGAATTTCATCTAACATCATGAAAATATAACAAGCGTAACGAGGTGAAGCCCACATTGCAACAGCATTTACAAGAAGTCTATGTACATACCAACCTCTCAAACCATTTGGCAAATTTTCACGATTTTCGTACGGAATCTCGACCCGCGGTTTTCTACCACTCGCAAACATATGAGGAAATTCTTCTAAAAGTTCTTTTGTCTGTTGGTTTTCAAACCAATGACGTGCTTGCTTTGTAGAACGAAGAGTATTCAAAATACTTTGCATTTGGTACATATCGTCTTTGACCGAACGAATGAGACGTAACTGTTTGTTAAACTGAACCCACTCATATTCTTCATTTATAGCTTCATGGACTATAACTGTTGTTGTGTTCTCGGTTGTTGACATATCTGTCTTTACATACAGGATAAAAAAATATTTTATAAAAAACTAACTTTATTTTTTCTATCTTAAGGAAATTCATGATTTTCATAGAGTTTTGGCGACCAGGATTTCTTACCTACTCGCAATTTTTTACGATTTTCGTACGGAATCTCTTCTCTCGGTTTTCCGAGGAAAGCAATCTTATGCCATTTTACTCAGATTTTCATACGGAATTCAGCAAAAATAATGTTTAGGGTAGAAGGTTAGATCTAACCTGTCTTCTACCCTCTTTTCTACCCCAGTTATTTTATAAGCGTTTTACATGGTAAACGTTATTTTTACATGTATTTTTCAGCAACTTCGTCAAATAATTTTATAGCTTTAGCTATCTCATCTACTTCAAACGTTTCTTTACCTTTCGTGGGAGCACCATACATTTTCTCAAACTTTTCAAGTAGTTCTGTTTCTGCAGCTCTCATATCGTTAACGAACGCAACCTTAACTCTATTGACTGTACTGTCATATCTTTGAGTTATATTAAATGTTCTTCCTATCTTATATCTCTTTGTATTGAAGTCCTTCGGTTTCTGAACGATATAAAGTAAGCCTTCACTGCAACGTTCCGTATCGAATGAACCATATGTTATGAAATTATATCCAACAACTGGGTCAATCCAGAACAAAACTATTGGTATAAGACTTTTGTCTATAAGATATGCTGTAGTTCCATGAAATCTTACCGATATCATAAGCTCAGGATTTTTTGTCAAAATTTTCTGAGTAGAAGCATTTCTAACCCAGTCGTGGGATGTTTTCTTTTCAGATAGTGTTAAAATGTCTGACAAAGAATATTTGTTGTATTTCTTTGAGTATCTTACGTTTAAATCACCTATTCTAACCAATTTGGTGTCATTGTCTATCTTTCTAACTGTTTCAAACTCAGTGTTTGACATTTCCTGTTCTTACATACAAAATAAAAAAAAATATTTTAAAAAAACTAGCTTTTATTTTCTATCTTAAGGAAATTCATGAAATTTGTGCTGAATTCAGTAAAATATATTTTAGGCGACCAGGTCACTCGGTTAAATGAACTTCTCTGAAAAAGTGTGACAACATGACATTTTGACAACAACACAGGAAATATACTTCTTCGTAAATGTTTTGTCAAGACTTCATCGTAATGAGCGTAAATCAGACAAAAATATATTTTAGGGTAGAAGGGTATATCTACCCCGTTTTCTACCCTCATTTCTACCCCATATGTCCTTACTGAAAAAGTATGTGTTCCATATGTCATTTTACTCAGAATTTTACTCAGAATTCAATAAAAATATATTTTAGGGTAGAAGGTTAGATCTAACCTCATTTCTACCCTCTTTTCTACCCCAGTTATTTTATAAGCGTTTTACATGGTAAACATTGTGAATTCGTGAAATTCTAAACAATTTCGTAGCTTCTATTTCTTCTGTCAGTACATCGAATGTTTTAACAATGCCGAAGGTTTCTTTATATTTCTTCTTGACATCTGAAAGAAGGAAATCGTCAGCTGTTGGATAGTTTTTGTTTAGAAATGTCAACATGTCCATTTTATCTTCTGCTGGTTTCTCTACTTCTTTCTTTAAGTCAGCATAGTCGTTTCGCATACGTTCTATCTCTTTGACGGAGTAGTTATATTTCCTCATTGCTGCTTTACATTTTGAACATTGCGGGTTCATTTTTGCGTTATATTCTGAAACCTTACCTGCTAGTATGACTAAGGCGTCAATTGCTCTCTTTAACTCAAAAGTTGCGGGTTTTATCTGTTCATTCCATATCTTACCTCTTCTATCTTTATCTCTTATCTGCCATACACATTTTGCAACTAACGAAACAAAGTTATCGTAGGTCTTAAACTCCCCAGATTTGTATATGTCAGAGATGTTCTTATATACCATATCGCAATCTTTGTCCATGACTTTGTGGTTGCAATGAAATCCAAGAAACTCATAGTTTACCTTTCGTATGAACTTCTTTATTTCTACTGAGTCAGTTGCTTTGACTTCTATTTCATCGAATTCTGGAATAGTAAGCTTTTGTTGTTGGATTTCAGGAAGTTTAGGTAGATGGTCAATAATATCCTGCATTTCATAAAGATACTGTTCATTTGTTTCATCTTTCGCACTACAGTCTAAATTATTTGTTAAAAGTTCTTGCTTTATCTTCTGGATTTCTGTTTCGAAAGTATATGAAGAAGGAATGAAGCTTTTCATCTCTACTAACATTGAAGTTGGGTTCATGACTAACGAGTTTGGTGCTGTTGTTGCTAACATGTTCTTACAATAAAAATAAAAAAATATTTTTTTAAAAAAACCAACTTTATTTCTATCTTAAGGAAATTCATGAAAATTCAAGAGTTTTGTGTGTTTTCTACGAGGGTAGAAAAGAGGGTAGAAAACGGGTAGATATACCCTTCTACCCTAAAATATATTTTTATTGAATTCAGCAACAAAATTCAAGAGTTTTGTGTGTTTTCTACGAGGGTAGAAAAGAGGGTAGAAAACGGGGTAGATATACCCTTCTACCCTAAAATATATTTTGTGCTGAATTCAATAAAAAAAAATGGTTCATTTACTCACAATATTTTTGTACAAAACGACCCCAAACTTTTAACTTCTTTTCTGCAGCTTCTAATGTTATCTTAGCGAGTTCATATTCTCTAAATTCTCTCTTTAAATCTTCTTGTTCCCATTGGTCTGGTTCGTATGGAGAATCTCTATAACCAGAACATATCTCACGTTCATGTTCTATTTTTTTCATGCATTTTTCTAACTTCTTGTTCAAACAAAGGTTTTGCATTCTCTACTGTATCTTCAAGTTCTTCTTCATCTAACTTCTCATGAACTTTCTTGTCTATGGAGTCCATAATTTTTCCAACTGCTATACAATATTTTGGAGAAGCCCACATTGCTATATAGTTTACGAGTCTTGGGTCTACATACGTTCCTCTAACCTGTTTGATTTCATCAGGAATTCCTGCATGAACCTTGTATAAAAAGCAACCCGCGGAAAACAGCGGGTTGGTATATTCTTCACAAAATGCCGTATAATACTCTTCCCAGGACTTATTTTCCAACAACCTTCTAAAGTCTTTCCCAAACTGCTGACATATCTTTGTTGCGTTAATATAACCATCCTTGTCTCTACGTAAGACTTCAATACCGTTATAAGTGCCTTTTGTGAATGTTTCGCCATTAGATTTGTTCGTGAACGTTTTTGCTTCGACTGACATTTCTGTTCTTACATACAAAATAAAAAATATTTTTTAAAAAAACTAAACTTTTTTTCTATCTTAAGGAAATTTCATGAAAATTCAAGAGGGTAGAAAAGAGGGTAGAAAAGAGGGTAGATATACCCTTCTACCCTAAAATATATTTTTCAATACTTTTTCAGCACTTTTCCGTAGTTGTATATGAAAGACAATTCGAGATAAAAGTCATAGTACAATGGTATAATATGCTGCACACCGTTTGTTGTGAACCAAACTTGAAAGTCAGAGAAACTGTTACTAGGTGGTTCGTAGAATTTAGAAGCAAAGTCATAAAAGTCCTTACCGATACAAAGAAAACTGTTGTTGCTTGAACTGAAACTTGCATGACACATAACATTTTGAGGGTCAAACACGTTTCTATAAACTGTCAAATCTGTTGGTGGGCGTATAAATTTAAACGGACCGTCAGGTGGCAATGGTTCGTTCTGGTTTAGTAACCGAAGAAATTGTGCCCAAGAACGTTTGTCTACTTCCCAAAATAAAAACTGTGTA